TGCCATGGTCTCAGCCGGGACCTCTCTCTTAGCTTGATAACAATACGATCCACTTGCGCGAATCACGCGCCCATGCCGCCCGCGTGGTTTATTGCATCTGAGAAAAACTATGCGAGTGCAGAGAAAGCAAGCAGTTCGATTCTAGACGAGCTAATCAAATCCGTACAAGTATAATCTGGCAAGGTATAGCTAGGTTTTTCGGCCAGATTTACAGTTGATCTTAGAGAGCAACAAATTAACTGCAGTACTCATCTAAGAAGCTAAGCTTGGCGACTACAGGTACAGGTCGGCAATCCCTTAGTATATTCAGCACTTCAAGTGTAGCGAACTTATGAATGCACCCGTCGAATGGGACAGTATACGATGATTCTGTCAGCCCAGGGGGCGACGAACCTGCAGGCGGCTAGCTAGCCGCAGATTAAGTTACTGTTGAGCACTTGTCCGCAGCAAAGGACAGGAGACGCGGTCAAGTTTCACGTAGCCGAGGCCAGGAAATGATATCAATAACATGGCGCAGGTGGTGCATGCTGCGCGCGCTGACAGTTCTAAATGGACAGGAGGTACAACAGTAAACTACTGCATCATACAGCATATGCGTGTCATCAATACCTGTGTGTCATGCATGAATTGAAATAAATACCGCACAGCAGCGCTGGCGCCACCGGAATATAGTTCGTACTGATCCATGGAGCAGTGATCATCAGAAGTTGATCAGAGTTTTGTGCCGTATGGTTCGTCCCTTAGTTGTTGGTTTTATCTATGAACGTGCCTTCTTTGGCATTGTATAATCTCCTAATTAATGAATGGGAAATTTCTGGTTGTACCCCTATACCAGTGTACGTTCTATATATCCTCGCTGTCCATTTTTGTATCAAAGTTCGCATGCAACTGCATGGTCCGAGAGAAAAATATGAATGTGTGGAAACTACATTGCTTTTTTCGAGACTATGCAAATTACGTATCATAGCTTTATAGAAAAAGAGAATATTAAGTACAAGACGATTACCACTCGCTGCGAACAACGAGCGTAGCACAACTCCACAAGCGGCTAGTCCAAGGACAGCCACCCACAACAACACAACCACAACGCAAAAAGCCTACCCAAAACAGAAAACCTCGCCGCGTCTCGACCGATGTCGGTCACCTCCGAAGAACGGCCGCTCCCTCCAAGCTTCCCTTGTCAACGCACCATCCCCCCTGAGAGGGCAAGAGGATGACCGGACTCGATCCGACCTGAGAAAGGCATCGTCTTGGAATCACAGGCGACGACCATACATTGCGCCGGGAAAGAACGATCCGGGTAATGGCGAACACCGGAGGAGCGCAACATAGGAACTCCAAGTCTCCTGGCACGATGCTCCCAACAGAGTGACGACGTCGAGAACGCCGCCATCGTGCCGATTCAGCGCCGAATCAAGGCTTTCGCCCGGAGAACACTGCCAAAACCAAGCAAGCGAGGGACTTGGCGACACACTCGGCGACGCCTCCAGGGAGGGGAATGACACCCACGGGTGCCATCGTCGCCGGCCCGGCCAAAACCGGACTGGATTTTCATCCATAATGCCGCGCAACTCCACTCCTTCAAGGTATTGGGCAGTACCGTCCATGACGCCTTGCACCTCCGCCACCACAGCAAATTGCCATCGAGGCTGCGCAGCCATGGTCTTCTCCAACCCTCACTGCCGAGAGAACGCGACCCATACCACCCTCAACATCACAGACGAGGAGCAGCAACATCCCACCAAGCCATGCAGGGCCAGATCCAGCAAAGTCGGCTTTCACCCACACCAGGGGACTGCCACAAGCAAGGATCTGACCCGTGCCTCCAGCCACACTCCGGCGCCAACTCCACCG